ACCAACACCAACCCATGGAAGGAACTGACACAAAGCTTTCAGAGAAAATGCTGGAGAAGGAAGTGGGAGCCGACGCTATGAGGAAATCGGTTCTACAGTAACAACAAAACGCCTTCGAAAAGCCTCTTGTGGGTTACGACTAGATGTTCTGTTATTCTAATAGAATAACAGAACATCAGCAGACATACACATTTTATCTTTCAAGAAAGAAACTGACAGTTGAACATCCCTACCTATCAGTGCACATTTAAGTCATTGAACACCACTTTGCATTACCAAAACCATTTGGTAATGCAAAACGACACAATGACATTAATGCTGTGTTCAGAATGCTTCACACATCATAAGTGCATCCCACCTCTAAAGCTTATGCACCTTGGAGACACATCCAAAATATCAAATGTCATGACACATGTCAGGAGGAGCTTATTAACTTTTCGTTTCTCTCAGTCTCTTTGCACAATGGCAGGTGAAATATTGAGAGTCTCTTGGCTTTATCTCCTAAAGGCAGGAGAATGTTGGCATCAGGCGCCATGTTTGAATTCACCAGATAACTCAGAGGTGTTGTGTGTTTGAGTTTTACAAACTAGCTCCCTGGTGACGTCGCTTTTAACGCAGTTCCTCTCTGACCCGAGCCCAGTTTAGCAAAATGCTGAATCGGATCGGTGTCTGCATTTCCTGGCAGGACACCAACTACAGGCCACTATATCAGATAGTGGAGTCGCTCTGATTTGCTGACGCTCTACATCGAGTAGAAAAAGTTCAAATTTTTCAACTCCAGTGTTGGATAAACTTGACGTCCACAAAATATTTAAAACATTCTGTGTCATCTGAATGTTCATGATGACAAAGATCATCTGAATGATGACAAAGATGCTTAATGATCTTTGTCATCATGATGTGCCCAAGATGCTCAAATCACATTCGATCTGAAAGCAGCATTAGAAAATAGAGATCATGTTTGGTAGGATATTGCTTAGTGATGAAAAGCAAACGGTAAAGGTTAGCCTTCAATGAGGTTAACCTTAATCATTGTTTGTTTCAAAGCCGAACAGTCATTGGGAGGTCATGTGGTTTTAGGACATTCATGTTAAAACATGCATTTCATTCACAAGCAGACCACCTGGGGTTCACCCTCTGCTTCAGTAGACATTACTCCTCTACCATGCAGGTTGACAGTCTGATGATTATAACAGCTATTTAGTGAAGAAAAATAAAAATGCACATTACTACTCACTGTGTCAGATAAATGTATTCATGTCTCCTGCAGATAAAAAACAGACATTGTGGAAGTGGACTAGTTAAAGTAAATATCAACATTGCTGTTCAGGTACATTTCTGTATGAAACACAGCAACAAACTTCTGACCAATCACACAACAGTTTGATCAGAGCTCTGACGTGACTTTGATTGTACAGCCTAACAATCCTGCCATGTTCATGGCATCAAGATGTTGCTCTGTGTTGTTGTCTGAAACTAGCCTTAAACCTTTGACTAGGACTAGGTGACCAGCACCCTGTTTGAATCCTTTTGCATTTTCTTACTCTTTTTCTTTTACAATTTGAGTTTCAACTTATAGCCTGGTTATGATTTAAGTACTTACAATCTTCAAGAAAATATGTGCTTAATCTCAGGCCTTTAGTGCCTTTGCGTCTGGTTGAAGCAAAGCACAAATAACACCAGAAACATACCACCAGCATATGCTGTTGATTGGAACATGTTCGTAATCCATATTGTGTGGGATATTGCCGATCGGGGAATTAACCAGGGCAATATCAAAACATGAAGATGAAGTAACAACAGCGGTCAGAATGAACCTCCTCCCCGCATCCCAAAGCTGATAAAAATAAAGAGAGAAGAAAAGGAATATTGGGAAATTACTAAATAGCATTTGGGAAAACCTGAAGATGATTAGACTGTGTGCTCCACAGATCATACAAATGAGAAACTCATCAGAAGGTCATAACAAGATATTTGGAGATTTATTATTTTTCTTAATGCCAGTCAAGCTGGCAGACTGGCTTTATCACTCTTCCCACAACTTCATCAGAACTTCATTCATGTGTTTCTGAACGGAGGATGTTGGGTAAAATAGAACTGTGAAGTAAAGGTGTGGAAAAAGATTGGCACAGATTGGCACAGTAGAAGAAACACATTCGTAACTGTAGGTGTGGTAAGAAATATTTTATAAGTGTGAGGAAAGAGGAGGAGAGTGTTGCTCCTAAATGCAGCGTACACCCAACACTCCCAGCCATCTGCTATGGTAACGCAGCCTTCTTGATTAGCAAAATGTGTGTTTGGCATGTTGCAGATGAGGCTCTAGTCAGAACCAAAACATTAACCTGTTCAGCATGTCAACACAGAGATCAAGCAGAGTCTGAAAAGTTCTCCTCACTTGTTATTTTCTGAATGACTGGCCAACCAACGATGTGGTCAGATTTTCCAACAATGTTGATTTTTCCTTCAGAAAAGTTTATTGAGTGCGACTTTAAAACGACTGAAGATTTCTAAATAGTTTTCAGAACAATGGTGCCTACAGCAACTCAAATGTTGAATGATGAACTTTGGAACGAAACACAGCCCAGTTGGAGCTGAACTAAAGCAGGAAACGCTTTGTGGTTGTCGCTCCCTGCAGAGAGATTTCCCTTCAGAACAAACTAGCCGCTTCTCTCTGACTGAGTCCATCTGAAGGAGAGAGAAGGGGAACACTTCAACACTGCTGCTTCAAGCTGCTCACACTGAAGGTGAGTTGATCTTGAATGCCACTCAAAATCACTTTGGGGAAGTGGAGCCATGACTGACTGGAGCTTCTGTGTGTTCAGCTTCATTCAGAGACTAAATGGCTTCCAGATCAGACAAGGATCTCTGCCGCCCGGTCTGTCGGGATGTCTTTTAAGGTTCCGGTTATTCTGTCATATAGTCCCGGCTTCTGTAAGGAGTGTCTGATGACCTGGAGGAGAGAGAAACCAGCAAGAGAGCGTCCAGTTTGTAAGAGAAGATCTTCAATGGATAGCCGTTTTTAGAATCGGCTCAGAGAGCCACAGAGGTTCTCTGCAGTCTGAGAAACTCAAACTTTTCTGTCTGGACTATCAGCAGACAGTGTGTATTGTCTGCAAAGATTCAGAAAGACTCAGGGAATCACAGCTGGGATGTCGATGTTTGCAGCGGTGAATTCTGGGAGCTCAGGTTGTTAGCAGAGTCTGCCCAGAGGAAGGGAAACATGGAGTCTGGATTTTGGTTCCATGCTTCTATGAAAGACAATAATCAGCTCCTCCCAGAGAGATGATGTTCCAGAGGACCAGAGTGAATCTGGACTGGGACAGAGGAACTCTGATGTTCTCTGATCTGGACACTGACACACACATACACACCATCATACACACCTTCACGGACAAAATGTTTCCATACATAAACACTGTGGATGAAGTAAAAATCCTGCTGATGAAGATCTCAGGGATGAAAAAGCAGGTCTGACGTTCTCAGCATGAAGAACACAATCAGTGTTTCTGGTATGCCCATCAATGTGAAACATGGACATCTAATAATGATAAGAAATAAGAAAAAAAAAGACTACATGTAAAATAAATAAGTTTTTCTTGGCCCACTGGAGGTTCATTGTTGCTTCTCATATTGATCTGTTGGGATGCTTAAAAAAACTTGTGTTGTGCAAAAAAAAAAATAGAAAATTTGCACAATATTTATTTCTGTGCTTTCCTGAAGAATAACAGTTTTCATTTATTTATTAATTTGGCTCATTTTCTATTGGAAAAAAGACATGGGAAGGAGAGCGCGCAAGGAATTGTGGAGCCGGGGGTGTAGAGCTACATTAAGCTAAATCCATTATAATGGCAGCACCTTTAAAAAGACAGCACTGTCCTGAAAACCTCCAACTTAGTCAGACTGGCTGGATGTTGTGAGACGAGTGTGCAGAGGGGGACGGGGCGAGGAACCCGTTGATAAATGCTTGCAGCTCGAGTCATGTTCTGACAGCAGAGGTTTGGAAAAAAGATGTTATTTCTTTCTACCCTGACTATAAATGACACCATTCCTGTGAGATGTCCACAAGCAGCTGCCGGTGGGCGGAATCTGAACTTGTCACAAGTGGCTGACTCGCTGCACTGCGCTCTCCACAAGAAGACCATCTTACTTGCTCAAGTGTGCCACCTAATTGAACTTTAGCTGGACGGCGCGCATAAGGCTGGATCCCATAAAGGCAGCGACATGAAGAAAAGAATCTCTCATATCTGTATTTTAATTGCCAGCTCTCCTTTATAATCAGATTAGCTGGAGAGAGCAGTGAAGAGGCAGATAAGACAAAGTACTAATTGAATTAGAAGAAAGGCAAGAGAGGGGAGACCAAACAGAAAAAAAGCAGTCAGAGAATGCAAAAGAAATAAAAAAAGACAGGATAGAATAAGAAAATCAAGGGTCGTAGGAATAAACTGAAGTCAAACAGTCAAGAGGTTTCGGGATTTCTCCAGCGGTTCCCCTCTCTGGTACCAGGAGTGTATCGGCTGATTTATAGTCGTGTCTAGTTTGTGTAAATGCCTGCAGTTTGGGCACCATTATTCTGAGTATGACAGGGTTATTGTTATGGCAACAGCTCTGTCCTCCTCTTCAAGAGATAGCGGTTATCAAACCCACTCATCACGCTGATGAAAGAATTGAGATGTCTGTTATGGTTTGATCAGTAAGCAGGTGAAACAGCCTCAGTTTTCTCCAGGCTGAGTACTGAGAGTGAGACCACCGTGTTGTCACCACATCGCAAGTCAAACATCTGCATGGAGGGCGGGGGGTTTATTGACTCAGACGCCACATCGTCAGCCCTAAAAGGTAATATTCTGCTTTGGTCATGTATTCACTGCTTTCTTATAGATCATTAGAAAAGCTACTAAAGTCCTGAACAGAATTATCCATCGTCTTTAACAAGGCGACAGCCATCAACAGCAACCGACAGCGAGCAGGACAGTCAGTCAAAAACTGTCGAATGCAGAGTCCCATCAGCAGGGGGTGGAGGTGTGGGGTGGAGGTGTGGGGTGGAGGTGTGGGGGGAGGTGTGGGGTGGAGGTGTAGGGTGGAGGTGTGGGGGAGGTGTAGGGTGGAGGTGTAGGGTGGAGGTGTGGGGGGAGGTGTAGGGTGGAGGTGTGGGATTGAGGTGTGGGGTGGAGGTGTGGGGTGGAGGTGGGGGTGGAGGTGTGGGGTGGAGGTGTGGGGTGGAGGTGTGGGGTGGAGGTGTGGGGTGGAGGTGTGTGGGGAGTGTGGGTGGAGGTGTGGGGTGGAGGTGTGGGTGGAGGTGTGGGGTGGAGGTGTGGGGTGGAGGTGTGGGTGGAGGTGTAGGGTGGAGGTGTAGGGTGGAGGTGTGGGGTGGAGGTGTGGGGTGGAGGTGTGGGGTGGAGGTGTAGGGTGGAGGTGTGGGGGGAGGTGTAGGGTGGAGGTGTGGGGTGGAGGTGTGGGGTGGAGGTGTGGGGTGGAGGTGTGGGGTGGAGGTGTGGGGTGGAGGTGTGGGGTGGAGGTGTGGGGTGGAGGTGTAGGGTGGAGGTGTGGGGTGGAGGTGGGGTGGAGGTGTGGGGGGAGGTGTAGGGTGGAGGTGTGGGGTGAGGTGTGGGGGGAGGTGTGGGGTGGAGGTGTAGGGTGGAGGTGTAGGGTGGAGGTGTGGGGGAGGTGTAGGGTGGAGGTGTGGGGTGGAGGTGTGGGGGGAGGTGTAGGGTGGAGGGGTGGGGTGGAGGTGTGGGGGGAGGTGTGGGGTGGAGGTGTAGGGTGGAGGTGTGGGGGGAGGTGTAGGGTGGAGGTGTGGGGTGGAGGTCAGAGCACAGAGTATGGGAGGCCGTCATAATATGAGTTGTTTACAAAGTGTGTTGAATAAAACACAGGTTTAAATAGCTGTCAAACCATAACATTTAGTGCAAAACTTGTATGAAACTTTTCCAACTTGCAGCTAATAAAAATGTGACATTTAAAATATAGAATATTACATCAGACCAATAAATAAAACATTTATTATTCAGAAATGTGGACTTAAAGAAAAGTGTGCTTTAGGATGTTATTTACAAAAAGATATTTTTAATCCGACAAAGGAGCCCCATCACAATGCATATTATAATTGATAAAATATGACTGCATGACTTCAGCAAGTGAAGTCATAGAGTAATGGATGTGCTGGGCATACACTGTTAAGCTCAACCTGACTGACACTTAGCACAAATATCCCCATACAACACATCCTTAGTTGCTTCATAAGCTCTTGAGTTAAAAAAAGAGAAGTGAATAATAAAATGCTTCAGAAAACAAAAGAGCAAAAAAAAAAGTCAAAGTCGGGCCAAGTGCAGTTACTCTGCGGTACGCTGCTTCTGAAAGAGGAGTCGGCATGGCGTGGTGGCTACCCCCAAGGCAAACCCCGCTCTGAAAAACTTCACACGCACCCCATCAGCGTGAGTAATCTCATGGCTAATGGCTAATATCTAATGGCCTTAATCAAAAGCCCCTGCTATGATTCTCTCAGCACTTTGTTAATAAATCACCACGCTAATGAAAAATGGTTCATGTCACGGCACACCGCTGCCAGGCCGCGGCACGGCCACGTTCGTTAAAGCAGCTTCCTGTGGTCCCGCTGTCATTTCAGTTCCTTCTTTTTCCTTTCATTCGGTTTCTTGTATTCATTTGATTTATCTCCCTGTCGTGAGAATAAACGTCTTTTATTCTTTCGTTTCAACTTTTCCCTGTCATGTTTTGGCTTCTGGTTTATTAACCAATGTCCTGTCATTTTCCCCGATGTTTCTAAATCCCCTTCACCTCTCTACGCTCTTCCTCCCCGCCTTCTCTTACTCACCCGAGTTCCCTTCTCCCAACACACATTCTTAAATCCACACATTTTCCTTCCTTCGCTTGGTTCCCTCACAGTGCTCTGATGCTCTGCAGTCTCCGTCCCCTCGCCCCAGTCCAGTTTGTTAACCAGAGGTGTGGCTTTGTGTTGTGTTGTGTGGTCTTGCTGGGTGCCGTACGCAGTGAGGAGGTAATTAACTGCTCCTCATTTAGACAACAAGCTCAATCAGTGCATGAGAATGAGTGCATGTGGACTGGAATACCAATAGGAGGGGGACTATGGCAGATGTACACACACACACACACACACACACACACAGACATTCACATGACCTTGAGAAGAAATGGAAGGAGCGGTTAATGAAGACTGCCTTCCAGCTGTTGTTATAAAGATTTATCAAAGAATAAGAGGAGATTCTGTTTTTTTTTTTCCTGTGAATTTCCTACTTAGCACACTGGCAGCCCCACATGGCAGCTGTGGGGTAGAGTTACGAATTTCTATGTCTATAAACCTTGTCATATAATTACCAAAACAAATTTAAAATTAAAAATCAGTGATGCAGAAACCAAAAAGAGGAGAATATTACATAATGCCAATAAAATGTGTTTTAATTACAGAAAGGTTCTGTCCTGGTTGGTGTGATAGAATCTCGGGGAAGACTGCTGACTCGTCCTGCACTCAGTCGGAACCTTGAGAGGATTGTGCAGCAAATTTCAATTTCTAAGTTTGAGGCAGATTTGGAAATCAAGAGGGAAAATGTTGGGGAAACACAGAATCCAATCTGTCTGCGTCCATCTGCCTTGGTTTAATATACAGATATGTGGAGGAGAATGACAGGATTTAACAGTCTTTTGTATTCTCAATATTTATCAAGAAACACGTCCAAACGTGAAGGTTTCATGAGGACATTTTCAAATAGTCAGTAGCTGCATTTCCAATACAGATCTTCATAAGACTTTGTTGATATTCCACTAATGTCAAAAATGCACAATTTTACTTTGCGTTTCCGTTAAATAAGAAGCGCAATTAAAATCACACGTGAACAAGTTTGTTCACATGACAAGTCAATAAAAAACAAGGTGCGCCATCCTCCAACGACTTCCTGTCATCGTCTTCTGGCACAACTTCCGGTTATTGATCATGCGATTCGTGTGATGTGACAAAAGTGTTTTGCAAAATACCGTATTTTCCGGACTATAAGTCGCTGTTTTTTTCATGGTTTGGCTGGGGATGCCACTTATACTCCTGAGCGTATTATGTGTGGAAATTAACACATCATTATATCACATCATATGTTATTTTCACACTGAACCGCAAGAGGGCGCTCTAGGCCTGTGTTATTCTACCTTCAGAGAAATCGAAGTTGATAACAAGCAACATCAAGGTGGTTCAAAGTGTTTTATATTTTAAAAATATGTATTTTTTTCATGTAGAAAAATACAAAACTACAAAATCATAGGACACACTGTCAACAATTGAAATATTACATTTTGCCAAGTGCCATCGTTGCACATCAAAATGTTGGTCAGTGTTTCATTTATTGTGGTTGAAAAGCAACTCCAAACATTTTGGGTTTTTAGTGCAGGTTTAGAGGAACTCTGTGTTTTGGTGGCTTCGCTCTGTTCTGGTGGCAGCAACCTGAATGTCAGCAAGCTGAAAGAGAGTCCTGTACAAACCAATTCTCTCTTCCTGTTTATCCAATTATATCTGAATTAGGTTGTTCTTATTCAATGTTTGCATATACCGCGGCAGTGAGGGAATTACAGTGATGGATGACCTGATGTTGTCAGAAAAAACGCCCAGTGCTGGAGATCAGAGAATCAATTTGGAATGAAAAGTGTTATTATTAGTCGTACAGCCAGTTCACCACAAAGTTTTTCTGCTAAAACACTTTTTTATTTATACATAATGATGATAAATAGTTCACAGTGCCAGAAATATTGAGACATCAAGGTCAACCTCTAATGTCTAAGTTTTAAAACTAATAGAGTATAAATAGTGTAACTCGCTCCACCTTTTCTCTTCCTAAATAGCTGCTCCTTTACTGGCTGCTCCTCTTTTCTCTTAAATTTAAGCACCCATTATTAAACTGAGATGGCTCTCCTAAATCCACCGTGATGGAGTGGAATATAATTTCTGCTTTTAACTTTGCCTTGGGGATGAGACGTGGTGAACTGGACTCTTGGATAAAGGCGTCGAGCGAATCAGAAGGGTTGTAAATGTTCGTCTCATGCGAGCGGAAGAATAAACAAACAGGCTGATGAAAAGATGGACGTGAGAGGAAAAGATATGAATCTGAGGGTGAGCGAGATTCTAGGGTAGCGTTTCTCAATGGAGGCGCTCAGAGGTTGGCAGGGGGCGCTGGCAGAAATTTATACAAAAGGAGGGCGTTGAGATTACTTTGGGGGGCGTTTGCTCCAAGGTAAACTTTAAACGCACAACAATACCAGTTTAGACTTTGAGCAACTTGCTAAAACTGTATTGTGTAACATTAAAACTGGAACTGTATTGATGGCAGCTCTTCTTCTCTGCAGTTTTTGCAGCTTCTTGGCGCAGCTCCGTTCTCCTGCTACTGGTAGCTTCACCGCATCAGTTCCACCGGCTGATGACGTTGCTGTGATTCACTTGTCAGGTGTCTGATTTTCAAATGTTTTATGTTTTATTGAGGATTTTTGTAGATATGTTTTGGCAGTGCTGTGATCAGCATTTGAAATGGCCGCACTAATCCCATGTGTAACAGTGGTTGGATTAAATCAGTTATATAATGTCCAAAGCAGCAAGTAGTTCTGAATGCCAGCTCTGTCCTCCTCTGTAGTGACTGCTTGTCCACCATGTTTGTAGTTCTGACATTCTGCTTAGCCTTCTGGCTTGGCCATAGTTAGAACTACAAAGATGGAGTGTTTGTAGTCCTGAGCAGCAGCTCTGCCCTTCTCTGTGTTCTGTTGCTATGGTGATTAATACTGTCTGCCGGCTGTGAGTGAGACACACAGGGAGAGACAGAACCAGTTTGACTGCAAAGAGCAGCAGAACAACTCCTTCCCGGTCGGGAACTGTGATACGTATTCAAAAACCGTTTGAAGCGTATGAGAGAGCTATTTGTCGTCTCCTATCATGAGACAATTCATATTTCTACCTCACTCACAGCAATAACAGCGATGATAGGAATATGGTGTGCACTCCGTTCCACACTGTAGCAGAGCGGCACTCTAATTTTATGAAAAATCGAAAACTTTGGTTGGAGATGTGCTGAATTCACTTCTGAACAGAAAATGGACGAATCTACAAAGTGACATTCGAATGGCATTTCTACGTAAATTCAAGACGACACAGAAATTTCTCAAAAATATTGCATTTATAGGATTTTTTTTTTCTTCCTCACTTCATTGACTTCCATAAGATGGTGGGGCATGTTTATCGCAATTTATGTTGCCATGGTAACTCCGAATCCCAATAACAGTAATAGTTTCACAATGCTGTTTTAACAAAACGACGATCATACGCACCAGGAAGCAGCAGCACATTCGATGCAGACCAAAAACATTCACCATTATGGAACGGCCTGCCCAGTTCCTGGACCTTAATGAAACAAATATCATGTGTTTTGTTATTAAAATGCTGTTTTATTGTCAAAAACAATAAAACAATGCCATTTTGGGGATTTCCCCAAACGCAATTTAAAAAATTGCTTCATGGAACGCTGCCAATTTTGAAAACTTTTTTGGCAATCATGTGATTAACAACCAGATGTTGGCACTGGCACAAACCACAGAAGAAGACGACAGGCAACGGTTGGAGGATTATGGTGCGCCATGTTTTATAATAATTTTAATCACGTTTGTTATGTAATAATGAAAACACAGCCAGTGCAAAATGGTGGGTTTTTTTATATTTGAAATGGAAATGCAACCACTGTTGTCTGTAAAGTCGTTTGAGTATGTTTTTCACAGAAGGCTAAGTGAAATGCGATGGCAGCAGAAAGCAGCGCATGCTTTTAGCACTGAATGACGAGGC